AGTAAACCTATATCTTACATATATGTAGCTTATATTAATAGGTTATAAATAATAATATATTTAATTTATATATAAACATTACTATTTATTATATACTTATTAACATATTAAATAAGTTATATTTACTAATAATTATTATTATGCCCATATCTTACGTATTAATATGTAATATGAATAGGTTATAATATTAATATATTTAATTTTTATATAAACATTACTCTATATTTATTATGATAAAGTAATTTGTTAATTATTGTTACTATATAAACAAAACTTGTAATTTACAAAATTTTAACTTATAAAATTAGTAGCATCGCATTTATGCTTACGTTAATAGAACATGTTAAAGTATTGCTATTAAGTGAAAATGACTATTAACAACTTTTCATTTATATGTACAAATAAGAATGTAATACAAATAATAACTATAACTTATAAATTATTTGAGATATTTGGTTTTGGTGATTTAAGTTGTCATTTGATATATTAAATTTTGGTTATTTAAATTTAAATTCTATTATTTATTTATTTTTATAAATTTAATTATTAGTAAATTGTATAAATGTAAAACATAATTTATTATTGTAAACGAGGTTCGGGTTTGCATTCGAGTAATTGGATATCCATTAATAGTTTAATAATTTTTTTAAATAATTAAATTTTTAAATAGGTTTAACTAATTATCTAATAGTGGGATGGTAACAGGATTTGGGTTTGGATAGTAAATTATAAAAATATTCATATAGTTGTAAGGTTCGGATACTCTACTTATTATTAAGTTCCGAGTTTGAGTATTTCAAAATTAACAAGTACTTAACTGTTGACATCCCTACATGAGAACTTCAATTTTTTCCCTTTTTAAAAAATTAAAATAAAGACATAATCCTCATCTCTTAAACTATTTTAAAAAGTTCAAATAAACCTTTATTTTTTTTTCTGTTCAATTAAGTTTTTATATTTTTATTTTAAATCAAAACCCTTATGATTAATGACAATTAGTCAATATACCACTTGTTATTTTATATTTACATAGTACTAACATGATTATGATCTCATATCATATTATCATCAATTATGATATGTTAGCATGTCAAATCAACTTCACACGATATTAAATGACAAATGATTTTTTTACTAAGTCAATTATTTGTCATAATGATTTATTTGGCTCAAAATAAAACTAAAAGAGTTTATCTGATTCAAAATAAAAATATAAAAACTTGATTAAATACAATAAAAATATAAGAGTTTATTTCAATTTTTTTATATAATTTAGAGACTTCTTTTAAAGTATATTTTTTTAGAAAATTATTGGACAAAATAATTTATACAAGCTCTAATTTTGATTAAAATTACCATAAAAGTATTTAATAAGTAACTTTCTATTAATCACGAATTTTTGTTTTCTTCAATAGTCTTTATAGAGAAAGATAGAGGAAAAAGAAATCATGACTTGCGTTAAAGAGGAGTAATTTGCAGAGGAGAGGGAAGGGAGATTGAATGAGAGAGAGGTATTCCCGAAAAGGGTAATATTGAAATTATTTTTAATAAATGAGAATATGTTTTTAACAAAAAGAAAAAATTCCTTGAAAGTTAATGTGTTTTTTTTTTTTAAAAAAAAGAGAAAGCTCCTCCCTAGATGTCACGCCTTATTATCGAACTGTGATGAACACGAAGGCCCAATGGACATAGCTCACAAGGCCCACGCAAGCCTACAAACTTATACAAGTCTCGCATGAGATTCATATCTTCTCATTTGTCCAAATTCAACATTCATATCTTAAATACATGTTTGATACTCCATCATCATAACCAAGTATCACACGAATATTCCATAAAACCACATTGTAACTTAAGAACCTTTCATCACATTTGAATATATTGGTTCTCATGTCTATGAACAACAAAAGAGGACACTCCAAGCAGACAAAACAGAATAAGACAATGGAGCTCATTTGGTAAGGTGTTGATGTAGTTAATGAACGCCTTTAAATTCTTACCAAGAATGTCGAAAAAGGGATAAGGAAAAAGAATAATTTTTTTATTAAAAACAAGGGATAAGAATCAATACACTAGAAAACAAGTCTTGGCACCTCATTCAAAATTTATACACTTTGGTGTTTTTCTCATTTCAAAACGTTATCACATTTGATCTAATCACATAACTCAATAAATATTCAAATTTCTAGCACGTTCATACAACTTTAAAGTAATGAAAAGCTTATAATAATATAAATCAGAGTGCCTAAGCATCATGATTAAAATTTAATGCACTAGTGGGGCAATATAAGAAGCACAAAATACAAACACAATCACACATGATGGGTGGCGAACCCATATAGTCGTTATATTTCAGCTTACTGACTCCAATATCGCTTTTGCCATCCTCTGACCACAAGGCTAACAACATTTACCCTACTTCCCCTCGCTAGCTAGGGTGGTCCTATTGTGTCCAATCATTAGCAAAACTGCTATAATCTCAAGTCCTCACTCAAGTGCTTTACATTGAAAACATTTTCCCCATAAAGTTCCATATCTAACATGAACACAGAGAGTATATTCATACTACAGATAATATTTCATAAAGCAAATTGATCATAGCACCATATATGCTATCAACATTTAATAGCTCTCAAACCAGTTAATACTACTTTCAATATAAATATAGTTGAAGGCAAAACATACAATACAAAGAACTCATTTCCCATGCACATTTTTTAAAGCATTGATCATAACATAATAAAAATGTTGTACACATTTATCAAAAACAATTAAAATGCATATCCTCACCTTTTATACTACCTTACGAAAACCAATACCAACTAGCTTAGTTCCCTTAACTTGAACCTTAGAGCTTTAAGAGAATCTAAACAATTTAACTCATAAAATCAACTATAAATCAACATTTTTAAACCATAACTTCAACTAGTAATCCAACACCCCTAAAACCTCAATCTAAATTGAGTTTTGTAGTATCAATTGAACCTATAATTACCAATAAATAGAATCTATAAGTCTAATAATTATACACTAGCTAAATTACATGATACCTTACCATTTAATCTAGATTCCTAGTCCAATTTGTAAACCCATTAAACTAACTACTCAAATTTAAGATTTCCTTGCCTTAGTGAGCTTGGAAGTGTAAAAATCTACAGAACCTCAATGAGATAATCTTGGAGTTGGAAATCAACTAAAAACTCAAACCTTGAAAAAGAATAAAATCTAAAAATTTAAGAAAATATTTGAAAGTCGAAACCCATGAATAAAAGAGCTAAATATGAAAATCTTTACCTTGATTAGCCTTAAAATTAGAGGTTTGAAGTTTAAGGTTTTGTTAATAGAAAAGAGTAGAGAAATGAAGAAGAAAATTAGACATGGGAAGAAAAGAAGAAGAAAAGAGAACTTTCTAAGATGTGAGAAGAAAAAAAAACTTTTCAAGGAAAGCTTAGGTGACCGGCTTTAAAGAAGGAAAAGAAAAAAATAAGACTTCCCAAGGAAGTTTGATAATATGCTTTTGTATTGTTTAGAGATAATTAACTACTTTCTATTATTTAGAGATAATAAACTAGAATGGTCTTTCATTTATTATTTAAAGGTAAATAAAAGGATTGTCTTCTTAGTCTTTAAAACCTATTTCACAATATTTTTTTTCAACTTATCTATTTTTTAAAAATAAAAACTAAGCCAAATAAGAGGTTTCTCTTTTTTTCTTTTAAAAACACACCAACTTTTCAAAAAATATCTCTCTCTCAATTGATCTTTCTCTCCTCTCCCTTCATTTGCAAATCACCCTTCTTTATCACAAGTCGTGATCTTCCTTTCTTCTAACTCTTTTTACAAAAACTATTAAAAATATAAAAGACATAGTAATAAAATAGCAAAATTTTATTTTATTTTTGTTTTTACAAAGATTAAAAGAACAAAAGATCCAAACTTTAAAGTTATATTTAGATACTATTTAAAGGTTTTTAATCTTCTTTACTAAAAAAGATTTTGGGGTCAAATATATCGTTTTCTCTTTTCTTTTCTTTTCTTTCTTGGGGAATTAAAGCATCGTAATCCGATTGCTTGTTAGATAAAAAAAATCCGATACTATTACATACTATTGTACAAAGTTTGAAAGCTATTTCATTTCTATATGAATTTATTTGATTTTAACATCTGAAATTTTATAAAAGTTCGAAGCAAACTTCTTCCATTTTAATTTATTAGGTGATTGAAGATGATATGAATATATTTTATAGTAATTTTAACTAAAATTAGAGTTTATATAATTTATTTTACCAAATAGCTGATCAAACGATTTTAGTTTAATTTTAAAAATTATTATTTTTTATAAAAACTTAGTAATAGATTTAAAATTATAAAAAAACTCAAGTCAAACAGGTTCAAAATTTAAAATATTCTCCAAAAACATAAACCTAAAATGTTTAATATGAAATATTTAATATCAATCACTAAGGTAAGGTCTAAACTACCTTTTAATCTACATTACTACTCTTACATTGAGTTACGTATCTTGAAGCATTCGTTTAAAAAAAAATTATAATTTAAAAAAAAAAAGCTTTTTCAAAGAGTTTTTTAAAATCTTGATTGATTTAATTTTTACTTTTAAAAAGTAAATAAATTAAAAAAATGTCAAGCTAAACAATCACTAGGTATTTATATGAAAGAAGAAAATTAAGCATAATAGAATGATACTTATGCAATGTGTTTGGACAAAATATATAATTTTTAGATAAAATTAAAGATTTTTTTTTTAATAGATATATAAATAGATATACTGTAAGTTTTTCACGTAAAACTATCAAAGAAAAGTTGTCATGGGATTTGACTTTGAATAGATTACATCACTGTGTAGTGGATCATAATTGACAAAACTTATTGAAATCCCGACAAATTACCTTTTTAATGAAAATAAAAACGACCTTGTCCTTGCCGTAAAAGACAACGTGTCAACGGCTAAATCGGCTAACTAAAAGAGCAAGAAAGGGGAAGCCTTAAAAATTATCTTGAAAGCAAAGCAAACTCCGCTCCCTCTCTGGGACCTATTCCATCACGAGCCATCTGAAAATGCCAATTCCCGTATACACCGCCACCACTCTCAAAGATGGAACGTCCAGCCGACGCTTATGCGCCTTCTTTTTTCTTCCTCAGTGAGCATGAACCTCGACAATTCACAGTCTAGCGGCAATATGGACATGGGTTTCTCCCGTTGGTTTCTCGTTCTCAGTCTTTTGCAACAATTGTTTGGTTTGAATTGTGCTCAATTATTGATGCATGGTGAGTCTACTACCAACTATGTTTCTGCCATAGGGGACCCTGGAATGAAAAACCCAAATGTCAGAGTTGCTTTGGAAGCTTGGAATTTCTGCAACGAAGTGGGCTTTGAAGTTCCTAACATGGGTAGCCCCCGCTGGGCTGACTGCGCTGATCTTGACTGTTCTTCCAACACTGGTACTTTCTCACTCTCTTTATTGATTTGATCCAAATGAGCCTAAAAGTGGTTGTTTCTTTGTGAATCTGTTTCTTAATTCTTTTGGCACTTAAGCTTGCTACCTTGTATATTGTATGTTGAAATTTGTCGCGCTTGTTAAGGTGATACCACTTCTTGAAAATTTGGTGAGACTAATGCATTGAATGAAAAAGCATTTCCGAAAATAGAAATCGAGTTAACCTTAAAGTGCCTATAGGCACCTGTTAAGTGGTATAAAGCTACCTCATCAACTATGCGCGTGTATTATAGTGGCAAATCAACTTGCCAATTCACCCAGAGTGTTAAAGAAATAAAAGCCAATTTGACTATCCATGATTTAAATATAGTGCATACCTGAATTCCTTCTGATGAATATTGCTTGCTTGATCATAAGCAAGATGGTTTTGTATTATAGGTTGAAAAAATGGCAATGTACTGCTTTTATGATGCTGTGCATGCAAATAACTGTTATGATTCGATGTCTTGCATTGGAATTTTTTATTTTTGTAGGTTTAAAGTCCATAAATGGTGCTTATCTGATCTTTGAGAGTTTACAGGAAATTTTGTTGTAGGCACGTCTAGGTTTCTTAATCGTTTATCCAAACTACTCTGCTTTCCCCTTTTTCTGTTGATTCTTTCATTCTTTATAACCTTGTGAGCAAATTGAGTTCTTTGATACAAATCAGTTCTGACACACAATCATAAAGCTTGTCCAATCATGAGTCATTATTCTAATTCTGTCCACAATCTATTTGTGATTGATCTTAAAGTTAGCGATAGGATTTGAAGAATCTTTGGGAATCCTGATTTAAAAGGCTGTATATTTATCTTTGACAATGCCACTGCATCCAGGTTCATTGTCATCTCGTTAATTACACAAGCAAATGAAGAGTATGTTAAGGTCCTATATCCACATGTCTCACTCAAACTCAAAATTTTTTATCTGTTTGGCATAAAACTGTAAAAGATAGAATTACATATCCTTTTCAAACGTTGACCATCTTACTGGCCTTCTGTTGTGATCATCAGGTCATCTGGGTGACGGCCTTGTTGATGATGGAAGTCAGTGCAGAGTACTTCACCAAGTGAATGACTCTGACAACAGCTTAAGAGCTGGTGATAAGTTTCCTATAATGGGCTTTGAGTCTTACACTGACCCTGACCTGTTTGCAAAGGAGAAAGAACTGTATCTTGGATCTTTATGTGAGGTACGGGAATCCCCAAATCCCTGGCAATTTTGGATGATTATGGTTAAAAATGGAAACTTTGACAAAAATACTACTCTTTGCCCTGAGAATGGGGAAAAAGTAAGTAAAATAGTAACAGACAGAAACTTTCCCTGTTTTGGTGAGGGATGTATGAATCAGCCACTTGTTTACCATAAGTACTCAATATTGGATTCCTTTGACGACCAGAAGGTTTATTTAACTGGAGAATTTTATGGAACATATGACCTTGATGCCAACTTGAGTGAAGGTGTGGGAAACAACTCCTTTTTTTCAGTCTCATGGAAGAAGAATACAAGCACAGGGAGTTGGATTTTTTCTCACAGGTTGACAACATCAACTAAATATCCCTGGCTTATGTTATATTTACGTTCAGATGCAACAGATGGATTTAATGGTGGTTATCACTATAATGGACGCGGCATTATGAAAAAGGTTTGTTGGCTGCATATACTTTGAATAATAGACACTTGTATGTGAGTTTTCTTTGAACATGCTTGCTGCTTAGTTGATACTGTTCGTGCTTAGAATTGAAAATAGAAGGCTGAATTTGCTTATTCTTGTAAATTTATGTACATCTCATAGAGGTCATAGGCAGATATTTGCCTTTCATCTTTAACCTTCCTAGAGACAAAAAAGCATGTGTTTTCATTTATCCTAATTGCTTCACTTTCTGCTGAAGGGGCTGTCTCTCCTTTTTCCTGTCAATGTATCTGTTGAAAGTCTTAGTTTCAGAGACATGATCTGTTTTAGTTGCCTTTGATCTCTCAGTTGCCAGAATCTCCAAATTTTGTGGTAAGGCTGACACTTGATATCAAACTTGGAGGAGGACCCAACAGTCAATTTTATCTGCTTGACATAGGAAGCTGTTGGAAAAACAATGGAGAACCATGTGATGGTGACATTCTGACAGATGTGACTAGATACAGTGAGATGATAATTAATCCAGCGACTACAAGCTGGTGCCATGCAGATAACTTGGTTTTCTGCCCACCTTACCATATCAGCCCTACCGGCGAGATGATATATAGAAATGAAACAGATCGGTTTCCATATTCTGCATATCATCTATATTGCAGCCCAGGAAATGCCAAATATCTGGAGAAACCATATGATATTTGTGATCCATATAGCAATCCACAATCACAGGAGTTGGTGCAAATTCTTCCACATCCTGAATGGGCTGTACATGGCTATCCTGAAAAGCAAGGAGATGGATGGATTGGGGACTCAAGAACTTGGGAGCTTGATGTGGGTGCTCTCTCAAGCCGTTTATACTTCTACCAGGTATTCTTGTTGTTTTAGCAGAGCATTTTCATGAAATCAGTTCAAAAAATGGTCGAATGCCTTGTTTCCCTCTGTCTTTGTTGGTGGGCTCCCACTTTGGGACATGGAATTTCTGTCTTAGAATTCTTTCAAGCATATTGAGGTTTACCTTTGGATGGGAACAAACTATAAAGATAGACTCACTTTCTCCATGTCAGATCTATCTAAATTGTGCAAATTGATTCAAATTCTTGAAAAATTTTAAGCCCAATTTAATTTGTAGAAGTTACTCATGAATGGGTACTTAGACTATAACTCAATTGATCTTGCATTTATTTAGTTTTTCCAGAGAGCAAAGGGATTGTCTCTTTCTTTTCAAAAACAAACAGTTCAAAGATTTGCATTGCCTTGCTTTCTATAGTAAACCCTCAATGTTGGCTTATCCAGTTAACAGGCTCCACAAGGCTCATGCTGGTGTGGGCCCAGTCAAAGACCCTAATCTTCAAAAGAAAGGCTGGAGTGGAAAATACCATCCTACGGTAGGAAGTGGAAGACATATATTACACTAGTGCAGAGCCTGCTTGCAGTCACAAGGCCAAGGCTCTCAAAACATGGATAGACATCCTTTAGAATGTGATTTTAGAGTGGTCGATTCTAACCTCCACAAATTAGCTAAGAAACGTGTTATTGACATCCTGCTATAACATGCTAGCATGTGAATATTCTTGAAATTTCAATATGAACTCTTCAACTATTAAGTTTGTTTTAAGGTGAACAGAAATTGTAGTGCAAATGCAATTACAAAGAACAATAACTACTACTCTAGATTTTAATTTGAGTAGTTCACCTAGTCAACTCTCAGGAATATACAATTTTTGGCTTCAGCTTTCATTGATAATATGTTTACTGGTCAGTGCCCTTGGATATCATTACTGTTCTTTGATGTTTTCTATGGGGTGATGAAAAATGCTATATTGCTGCTATGTTTCTCAGGATCCAGGAACAAAACCTTCAAGGCGCATCTGGTCGTCACTCAATGTTGGTACAGAAATATATGTGAGCCGCACAGGGGAGACTGCAGAATGGACTGTTAGTGATTTTGATGTGCTTGTTCCAGAAGTTATGAAAATGAAGGTGATAGCTCATACTAACTCGTAAACATTTCTTTAAGTGATGGTTGATGTAGAATCAACTAATACCAGTACAGCATAATGAATACTTTAAATGTATTTAAAAACTCTATGGACAATTTATCAAAAAAGAAAAAGAACTCTACGGACAATATCGACTCACATTTTTCTTTTTTTTGCACAACTGAAATATTCTTCATTTTTCGCTGCATTATTGATTGGGACATGGGTCTGTCATTTTCCCTGTTTCAGTCAATCCTTCAATGTGTAAGCATGTAATTATAAAAGCTGAAGGTTATTGGTCTTTGGTTGTTTCTTATTTCCCTATTTCCTTACTAAAGGAGAATTAATTTAACATTTTTTATTTTATTTGCATCTTTGTATGTATTATAGGATATTTTTCTTTCTTTATTTAATCTTTCCTTAAGTTCTTTTTACTTTACTTGTACTCCAAAAAAATTTAGAATTACAGTACTTTTTTATTTACTTGTGTCACATGTAGGTTTAGAATGGGCTATTTTTATAAATAGTCTTTTTATGTTTCATTGTTAAACTGAACAAGGTTTTCCCGATTCCACTTTTTTGAGATATTTTACTTTTCATAGTATTAAAGCAACTTCCTAACCTGGTTCTTTTCTTTCCAGCCATGACAATGATTTGGTTGTGGTAGAGTGATGTCTTTTCCTTATGATTTGTTCTCTGTCGGTTGCTTCGGCACCGTACGTGATTTGTTCTTCGTCTGTTGCTTCGACGTCTCACGTGATTTGTCGGCTGCTTTGGCACCGCACGTCATTTGTTATACTGTTGGTTGACCATTGGATGATGATTCTGATATTTTTCTAGGATGACCACTCTTATATTGTGCTTCGTATAATTTGATACGTCTTACTATGCATGCAATATATTCTGACGAGTTGGTTATTCGTATATATTTAAGATATAAATGAGTTTATGCTTCAAGGAGCAATTGAGGTAAAGTATATGTGGTTCTAATTCGGATTTAGTAAGTCTACATTAGTCATAGTTTCAAATTTGCTGTTGGGTGAGCAACTAAGGTAAGGCTTGATATACATTCCAAATGGCATGATTCAATGTTTTTAAAAAAAGATGGATTAAATTTCAATTTGTATGTCTGTCATACGTGATATATATTTAAGAATAGCCATTTACTGTTCAAGAAGGTTAGTGTCAGTTGTAAATATGCAAAATATCGTAATTGATACCAAAACCCCATTTTACTTACATCTATCTGATCATCCAAGCTTGATCTTTGTTACATGATCTTTGTGTGAATTGGAGATAATGATTTCATTTGGATGTGTAATTTCTTAACTACTCTTTAATCCAAGAACAAGGCAAGGTTCAGGGATGGATTGATAGCAAAATCCGATGTCAATTTTAGAGATTTCTGATCTTGGATTGAGGGGTTCATGGATGGATTGATAGCAAAATCCAATGTCAATTTGGGAGATTTCTAATCTTAGATCCAAGGGTGTATGGATGGATCGATAGCAAAACTAGATGACAATTTCGGAGATTTTTAATCTTGGATCTAATGGAACGCGGTGGTAAAATCATGGCTCATCAACTCACTTTTAAGGAGTTACAAACAAGTGTTGCCCATGCAAATCCTGCAATCAAAATATGGCTTGATTTAAAGGAGTAATTTACTCAAGGAATTACACCTTGAGTGTATGAATTGAAACGATCCATTGCATTACTATAATAAACGCATCCAGAGCTAGAAGTGTTCTTAAGACAGCCAACGAGGAGCTGTTTTAAATGAACTTACGAAGCTGATGGAGACCCTAAAATAGATTTGTGTTGGAAAAAAACCATGAGACAATGAAGGCGTTGCTTGAATCAAGTACAGGAGAATATCAAAGTTCGTGAATTCGTAACCAGTCGAAGTCGATGGAGGGATCAAACCAAAAGCACACTTATGTGTCAAGGCTCAAATCAACCTTAAGGCGACATCACTTGGAGGCACATCAACAACCAGCATTAGGCCATCATCGATTGGGGGTTTTCAAACACCCCACATACTTGGAAAATTGAGTCGCAATTGCAAGGCACACACCGACGGGCCCTATAGCACAACACGAATCGGCAAGTTTGGCACGTCAACTCGGCGCACCAAGCCCACATGCAAGAAAACCTAGCACCAATGGGTCAAGCACACTCAACCCGTACTTTAGGAGGCCACGCACACAACGGGCACGCCTTAGACAGCCTTGCACTGGAATATTGCACATATCAAGACCCCAAACACATGAGCCACACAACAAAAGGTTCAACCGAAAGATCCACACGCTTGAAGGCTGCGTATGCGAGACGCACTCTAGTGGCCAAATTGTTATAGTGTGGTGCCTTCTTGTTGTTGCTTCAGTATGTAATTGGCAATTCCATCAATTAGATGTCAATAACTCCTTTTTGCATAACAATCTTGAAAGGGAAGTCTACATGAACGATTCCTTAGCCATTAGGGGATCATCGTGTTTGATGTCTTAAAAAGTAGACTTCGTTATGCTTTTCGTAACTGTTAAAATTTTTTAACTATAACCATATTTGGATATCAATTTTCTCATTAAAGATCTTAGTGAACTCAAATATATTCTGAGAATTGAGATAACACGTCCTTCAACTGGCATCACATTAAGTCAATGCAAATATGTTCTTGATATTTTAATAAAGTGTGGTTTCACAATTTGCAAACCAACTTCCTCACGCATGTATCAACACCATAAACTTGATCTTAATTTAAGACAATTTTATGATGATTTCGAACAATATAGGCATCTCATTAGCAGATTACTTTATGTCATGATCATGTGTCTAGATATTAGTTACGCAATACATTTCTTGAGTCAATTTATACACAAGCAAGACAACCACACTTTGATGTCGCTGTACAAATTCTTCGATATCTCAAAAATGTACTTATACAAGGCATTTTTCTCCTTTTTGGATATCTCAAAAATTTTAAAGTAAAATACCTAGTCCTGCCTAACTTTTAATTGAAATTTCAGACGGATTCATTAATTTTCGAAACAGACATTTCGTCTCAAAAAAAAAAATCTTTTGCTTGACACATAAGTCACGTTGTTAATTAACTATTAGTACTTCTGTTAGTTTGATGACATGATAATATTGAAAGAATAAATTTTTTTTTTTAATTTTAAAAATTATTATTATATATTTTTGTACAAAAAATTCAAGGGAGAAAAAAAAATTAAGGGAGCACCTGTCGTGGGGTAATCAGTTGGTTGTCAACCGGTCACATTGTTTGAGAGGAAAAAAAATGAGAGAAATAAGAAATGGCATTTTAGTCTTTTCATATTTTTTATTAATCATATTTATATTTTTGAGATAGAAAATTCATTTTGAAAATTAATGTACCTGCGTGAAATTATAACTAAAATTTAAAAAAGTGAGTATTTTACTCAAAATTTTATTAACTCGACCGATTTTATCTCATTATCAACTAGCAGACATATTCACTACGACGCTTAGTCGAGAGCAAGTTCAAACTTTGTTGGGCAAGTTGAGCATTTTCAATCTTCATGCTCCAACATGAAGGGAGCAAAGGAGGATTAATTTAAAATCTTTTATTTTATTTACATCTTTGTATATATTATAGGATATTTTTTTATATATAATTTTTTTATTATCTTTTTACTTTACTTACACTTTAAAAAAGTTTAAAATTATAATATTTTTTAATTACATTAGTTGCATTACAAATAAATTTAGGATGAATTATTTCTAAATAGTCTCATTATATTTAATTATTAAATTGAACAAATTATTTCTGATTTCGTTCTTTTAACCAATTTTATTTTTCACTTGCCTTCTCCACCCTTTCCCATAATGTAGATTCTTCTTGTAAATCGTCTGCCTCCATTCTCAGAATATTTTAATTGAATTCATGCATATGTTACATTTAGGTGCGCAACGGTTGGTGAAAATCGAAAAAATCAAATTTATTTTATGTAAAAATTGAATCGATTACCTAATTGAATTAATTGAAATTTGAACTATTTCGATTAATTCGATCTATTGAAAAAAAATAAAATTAAAATAAACTTTTTATAATATTTTATCGAATTTTAAGATATTATATATAAATATGTTCAAGTAAATTGAACAATTTTTTTAACTTAATATCTTCCTTTCCTTTTCACATTCTAACACTTACTGAACCACACATCAAAACATATTTAAAATTTCCTAATATGTAGTAATTCATACTTAATGATATTTTCTTATATTCTTACTTTATTCTTTTTTTTTAATGAAGAAACTTTATTCCTTAATCATTCATAAAATATATTTTCATTTTGACGGGAATTGTCTATTTTATTTCGTTCGGTTTTATGTTTTGTTTATTTTATTTTTTATTTTTAATTAATGTATAATTGTTTTCATTTTTTCCTTTCATTATAAAACTTATAATTATGATTTAAAATTAATTCTTTAAATTTTTTTAATTTATTAATATAATTTTTTATAACAATAAATTAACATGTCATGTTAACACTATTCAACATAAAAAAAATAAATAAAAATACAAAATTTAATTAAAAACAATAAAAAATTTTAAAATTTAAAATTTTCTTAAATAATTCAAGAATTTTTTAAAATATTATATTAAAAATCAACAATTAAAGATCTTTATGTTGAAATAACAGTTAATTTGTTTAATCAAAGTTAAATGTTACACAAGTAACACATTAAAATTGATTTTTTTTAAAAAAAAACACTTTTTTATGGAATTAAAAAATTGATTTTTAGATAAAAAATTGATTTAAAAAACACTTTTTTATGGGATTAAAAAAAAAACCTGTTTCACGTTGGATTTTTTTTTGGTCCAAATTTTGGATAAAAACTATAAAATTTTGAATTTTGTACTTGTTTCATCATTGTACCAATGAAGGATTGATTGTAGTTTTATTACTGGGTAAAAGGTTCTTTCTCATATGGACAACTTGACATTCATTAGACTGTTTCCTTCCTGCTTTATTGTCTGTTCAGAAATCTGATTTGCTTGTAAGCTTTCAAGTTTTCCCAACAAAATTTCTCCAAAGCCTCAAAAATGGGAACCAGGCCATCCTGTAAGCAGCTTGAAGCAGCATCATTCAGCTGTCTAACAACTTCTTCATGCCTAGCTTTTTGTTCTTCCAATCTCTTATTCATGGAGACCAAGTCAACATCCAGTCCACCGGCCTGTGCCACACTCTCTGCAGGGAACTCTGAAGCAGACAAATGGTTTAGCAATGCATCTTGATGCCACTGCAAACCACTCTCTTCATGAATAATTCTAAGCAGTTTCTCAAAATCCTTTGAAAGATGCATAGCTTTCTGTCTTTCATGTTGTTCTTCATTTTGCTTCTCCCATAACTGGTGCAAGCTTGAGGCAAAACTATGAATGGCTTCGTATACTCCACTGTCTGAAACTTCCTCAATTGCATTGTACCAATCACTACAGATGATGAAAACGGGTGGAGCTCCAATGCTACTAAGAGAAAAGGTCAGTTTTCCATCAGGAGTTGCTTCTGGTTCTTGGAAGATGCACCTCAAAAGCCACTCATTTAAGAATTTCACAAATGCTTTCTGAGTACTAGCATAATCTCTAAAGCTTGAACCCCAGTTTAACATCTCCTTTTCCAGTCTCTGAGTGGCCTTCATGTTTGAACTTTTTCGACTGTCAGCATTTGCCATATGAACATATGCTTTTGTCCCTATGATAGTTCGGAACTGCTTTCGATGGCATTTCACCATGAAGTCCCACATTCTCAACAACCTGAAAAAAATGGAATATTATTATGGCACATTAGAATGGATAACGGGAAAAAAAAAGGACAAAAAATGCACAAGGCGACAGCAAAGCTAGAGTTATGAACTTATAACCTTCTTTTTGGAGTCAAGGCGAGCCACTTTAATACTACAAGCTG